CCTTGCTCATCGCTTGCAAACAGGTACCTCCACGCGGTATCTGGGGACGCAAACTCTCCGCCACTCCCTGGCCACGCGTCTCTCCAGCGCGCACACACAATTTAGTGCTGGGTTCCCGAACGTATTTTGGCAGATATTTGCATATGCATATATCCTTCAGCCTTAACTTCTCAATTCCTCCACAAACGAACGATCCTGTCACTCAGCCCCCAGATAAATAGTCTAATATACTAATAGCTGTAGTCAGTCCCAAACATCTCTTTGTGGCACCTCTAGTCTCGTCTCCGAAAAAGCCTTCAAAATTTCCCAAGCTTTTCTTTAGTTGGACAGTAGTTAGACGAACTGCGCTGGAAGTACGCCCCAGGTCACTTAGGTGGAAGCAATGGAGAGGCGGAGCCCTTGCTGTCCCTCTGGAAGGGATGGGGAAAGTCCCGGGTTTTAGACTGGGATGGGCCTCGGGCCGGGAAGCCGCAAGGTAGGTCGAATGTGCCCTGTGTTGCAGGTGGAGGTGCACCCGCCGCGCGTGAAGCAGCTCCTGGCCCTGTGCTGCGGCGCCTTCTCCCGGCAGCAGCTCTGCAACCTCGAGTGCATCGTGCTGCACAAGCTACACTTCAGCCTGGGTGCGCCCACCATTAGCTTCTTCCTAGAGCATTTCACGCACGCTCGTGTGGAGGCGGGGCAGGCTGAGGTCTCCGAAGCTCTGGAAGCGCAAGCCCTGGCGCGCGGGGTGGCCGAGCTGAGTCTGGCCGACTATGCCTTCACCAGCTACTCCCCCTCCCTGCTGGCGATCTGCTGCTTGGCGCTGGCCGACCGCATGCTTCGGGTCCCGCGTCCGGTGGACTTGCGCCTGGGCGAGCACCCGGAGGCGGCGCTGCAGGACTGCCTGGGCAAGCTGCAGCTGCTGGTGGCCATAAACAGTACTTCCCTTACTCACATGCTGCCTGTTCGGATCTGCGAGAAGTGCAGCCTGTCCCTGAGCTCGAAATAAAACAGACTCTTGGTTTCCTTTTAGTTCCTGGCCCAGTCACTGGACCTCTCCCATAGCCTCAGAAGAGTGTAATATTGGTTTACAGAGTAGGCTTCAGGGCCTGCTTGGTCAGCTGCAGGTTGTAAATAGTGTGTGATAGTAGCATCTGGTATTTTATTTATTTTGCAGCGAGCACACGAGGGAGCTGAGTCTTTCCCCAATAAACAGTTGTGGTTTGTCTAAATCCTGCAAATGTCTGTCTGTGGGGAGGGAAGGTGAATTCAGCTCAGGAATGGGGTGGTTGGCATTGTTTGAGGGATTTTACCTTCCCTCTGGGTCCACTCTGTAGTTGGCATCTCTGTGGAAACACCAGGTCAGGTGAGGTCCTGGATACTAAATTCCAGAGATTAGTGGAGTTAGGATCACCTGATGGCTTGGGTCCTGTGACCCTCATGTCAAGAGACTAGGGACTGTGCCCTACAGAGTCCAAAAGGGTACGGTGAGTGCAGTGTAGTGTGAGACAGAATAGAACCTCTATGCTGTCCAATGACTGCACTTGCTAGTGAGGCAGACGTGAAGCTGGGAAGCTTTGGGGGCCACACAGGCACACTAGCAGAGGTGGGGGAAAGCAAGCAATATCCAGGCATGGAGAATCCTGTGTTCAACTGGAGCATGTTGAAAACCAAGGCTGTGACTGGTCATGGCCATTGCAGGTCAAACCCATTTACCCTGCAATCATATGGTTTAACTGTTCATGCTACCACATGGTGCCCAAGATAACTGGCATAATAGTCACAATGGCTATATTGAGTGCTACGTATTAGGTACTATGTTCAGAATTTATTTCATTTTTCCAGCAACTCTATAAAGCAGAGTCTATTATCCCATTTTTCAGAGGACACTAGAGCACAGAGCCATTAAACAACAGTGGAGTAGCCAGGATCTGAGTCTAGAGTCCCACTCTTAGCAGCACTACTAAATGTCCCCAACGTACAGGTTTCTGGTAATTCTCCAAAACGCTCTTCTTGAGATAGGTGGCAGACAGTTATTTACTCAGTGCTCCCCATTGAGTAGGGCCTACAGAGAACATATCTGGAGAGCCAGCACAGTGCACACCTCAGTCACGTTACAGGAATCATTTTATAGATTTAGAGAAAACTGAGTTGAGAAATGAGACAGGTTTGCTGGAGTTTTAGCTCTACAGCTGTCATATTATCTTCAGTCTCACTGTCATGAATCTGATGCAGTCACCAAATCTCTCAACTCTTGTCACCTCTAGCAAATTTCATATCCTCTCTCAGCTCTACAATTGAAACCAAGGTTGTTGTAAGCCTAAATGAGATTGAGAAGCTTAAATGATATTAAGCTTATGTGTTATGAGGAGGTATAAAGTAGTGATTCAACAAGTGGGCTCTGGATCCAATTTGCCAGGTGACCTTGAGCAAGTCACATATCTATGCCTATGTCTCAGCTATAAAAATGGGACTAGCAATAGCGCCTATTTAGTAGGGCGGAAGTATAGCTCTAATGAGATACTCCTTACTGATCCCCCAGCACAGGTCCTGGCACACGGAAAGCCCTTGAGAAATAAAGGCTAGTGGTAACCTGCACAGTGATGGGAGGAGAGGAGCTTTGCAGAAAAACTTGGCGCAAAGCAACAGAGAACAAATATGGGAAAGTAACAATTTGGGTGGGCGGTGAACATACGGTTTGTTCATTGTATTTTCAAATTTTTGGTATGGTTGAAAAAAGTCCTAATTTTTTGGGGGAAAATGTGGCATGTTCCCCTGCACCTAGAATAAATCAAAATGTATGACAAATACAAATAAAAAGCAAACAAAGTCATAGGAAATTTAGAGAAACTTCTTTGCACTTCTCTCGAAGTGTCTTTCAAGTGTTCTCAGAGTCAGCGATGCCTTACTCTAGACCTCTTGGATGCCTCTTGTGACATATTGCTAGGCTAAGCTCTCTAGGAACTTCCTCCTCCTTGGCTCTGGAAAAAGGAAGTGGTGATCCCCAAGCTATTTGTGTAAAAGATGCTCTGTGATGGTGAAAAAGGAGGAGGAAGATCATATCACCTGTTTCAAGTCACAAAGTATTAAGGCCCTCTGCTTCATTGCAAGGGGTTGGGGTCTGGCCCCCAGGCAAAAGAGTAACTTTGGAGGGAGTTGTCTTCGCCAGAATCTGCTCCATTAATCAGCCAAGATTGCTATGGGTTACTGGTTCCAGAATCATCCAGACTAGGAGTCATATAATCATGCTATTCCAGTTCCTGTTACAACAGATCATGTACGATGCCCCTTTTTTTTTTCTACCACAACTTAGAACTCATTGACAAATATTTGGACAATGGGCCTATCCTGGAAATATTGCGATGACCTGCATGTGTAGAGATCTCCCCAAAACTCAGCTAAGAGCATCCCTACCCATTTTAAAGACTGGAAAGTGAGCGAGGATGGGAATGGAGATGAACTGTCTGGTGGTTGTGCTACTCAGGAACCAGAGAAACAGGAGACAGAGCTAGGATCAGGCTGTGGGAAGCTGGAAATAAAGTTGAAAAGGCTTTTCAAAAAATCACTAATTTACCCCTACTAAGCACCAGTTTCTCTACATAAATAATCTCACTCATCTTCATAGCAACTCTATTGAGGCAAGTGTAACTTTTTTTCTCCTAAAGACCCAGGGCTCATCGACCTGGTCCTCGGGCACTCTGATCCTGAAGCCAGAGCTCCTCACCAGCAGCCATGCCACACCAACTCTAGCTGGTTGACCTCACCTCACTTTAGTTTCTGCATCTGACGTGGGTCAGAGGGTCTCTCAGTCTATTCCAGCTCTACCATTGGGTTACCTTCCTGGGCTGTTAGGGGATCTTATTTCTTACTCCAGATACTGGGTGCAAATAAGAGGACGATGGCAGGTTAAAGAGGCTCTTTCACTACTACTAGGTATAAAAGGAAAACAAGGTGCCCAAATACGGGGGCGGGGGTCGGTAAACAAAGATTCCAAGTTCAGATGACTTCAAATTGGATGAATATGAGTGGTCCTGAGAAAGGTCCCTTCACCTGAGGATGCCCCTCCCTGGGAGATGCCTCGGACTCAGGAAAATGTCCATTCCTTGGAGAGGTGTCGGGTTGGGAATGGCAACTACGACTGCGAAGAGACCAGCCAAACGTTGCAATGTGCCGCTGAAACCACTAGGAGGGACAGGGCCAGGGTTTTCGGGGATTCGGGACTGTCCACTGTGGCGTTTTCAGAAAGTGGAGGAGGGTTCGTATTGTCACTTTTTCTGAACGAACCGTCTTTTAAAGGCTGTGCTCACTCGCCACTGCCGAGAAAATTGCGGGGCTGGGGGAGCGGGCCGGGGCTGTTGGCCTCAGGCCAAAAGAGACCCTGTAGAAGTCCGTGAGTCAGGACCCGGGACACTGTTCAGGTCTGCGGGAAGGGGCTTCTGTAATCAGGGGGCTGTTCCAGGGCGTCCCTGACGGTATTCCACATCCTTACTAAATCCTGCAGGGAGCGCAAAGGCCGGAGTCTAGCGCTGGCAGGTGTCATTCCACGTTTATTTTGTGCCTGTGGCTGGAGTGGGAAGAAAAGGAAATAATCGTTAACTTTGCCATTCCCGCTGTCGGTAAGCGGGAAGACAGCACCCAAGGCGAGGGAGACCGGCGCTCGCCAGCCCCTCCTCTCTGTCTCCGCCTGGCGCGGCCGGGAGGCAGCAGCGCCAACGCTCGCGGAAAGGGCGCTGGCGGGCCCGGGCCCCGCGCTGGCGGCTCCCGGGGGAAGCCGGGTTGCCAGGTTGGGTTTAACGCCTCCGCCCGCGCGCAGATTGTCCCGGGCTGAAGGCGCCACCTCTGGCGCTCAGGCGCGAGCCACCCCTCCCGCTCGGCGGTCCTTCCCCTCCCCCGCCCTCTCTCCGCACCTCCTCGGCCGCCACTCCGCTCCTCCCCAGCCACGCGCCTGCCCCAACCTCCGGCCGGCTTCGGACCGCCGCCTCCGAGCAGTCGGCGCTGGGAGGCAGGAGGAAGGAGGCAGGATGCAGGCGTGCGGGGGCGGCGCGGCCGGCCGCCGGGCCTTCGACAGCATCTGCCCCAACAGGATGCTGGCGCTGCCTGGCCGGGCGCTGCTCTGCAAGACCGGGAAGCCGGAAAGGAAGGTGGGGCGGTTGATTCGGGCCGGGCGGGGTCTGCGCGCTCCGTGCCCCGAGGGCTGACCCGCGTTCAACGTTTGTGTGCCCGGCCAGTTCGCTCCTCCGCGGAAGTTCTTCCCGGGATGCACAGGCGGGAGCCCGGTGTCCGTGTACGAGGATCCCCCAGACGCCGGGCCCACTGCGCTGCCAGGTGAGCCCCGTGGCACACGCCTACCCCTCGGGTTTCCCTCGCCGGGAGGGTGCGGCGCGCATGGCTCGGAGGACATTCTCTCCTCCGGGCTTTGACGTCCTAGCAGCGAGCCTGGCGGAGAGGCTCAGGGGCCGCCCGGCGCGTGTCTCCCGGTCTCCCCGCGCAGCCCTCACCACCATAGACCTGCAGGACCTCGCGGACTGCTCTTCGCTACTCGGGTCCGACGCGCCGCCTGGTGGTGACCTAGCCGCATCGCAGGTACCTCCCGCCTCTGGTGGAGCCTCCCGGTTTCACGCAGCCCAAACCCTACTCGGGGTGGTGGTTTTAATTCCCTTAAAGCTCCTCTCGGGTTGGGAGCGCAGGCACGTTCAGCTGGTGAGGGGAAGCGTCGTGCAGGCACCTGTGCCTCCCAGATCAGAACTTCTGCTTCTCTCCTAGCATGTTATGAAGGCCACATATCCACCGGAGCTGTTTTGACCAACTTGGTACAGTGGGGCTCACCTGGAGGCCTCCCTTGCTATTCCCCGCCCTATCTACTCCTCGGATCTGTGACAAGATTGCGCACTGAGAGACCAGGCGGGTGGGTGGGAGCAAAGTTGCTCTCTGGGCACCTGTTGCATGTCCTGTCAGTTCTCCCAACACCCGCTTCCTGGCCATTATCATTCCGTGGGTATGTAAGAAGAGTGGAGGTTGATGGATAACTTCTTTATCAAGACCGGAAAAGAGTAAGAGAATTTACAGTGGGGAGAAGCAGGAAGAAGGACAAAGGACTCGAAGTAATCTTGCTGAAAATGTTCCCCTCTGTAGAGATGATCTTTCAGCAGTTGGGCACTTTTTCAAAGTCCTGTTCAGCCCTCGTAAAAGCTCTAGTCACTTGCCTTGATGGGGCAAAAAGGCACTCGACTTTTTTCTTTCCCACAGAACCTGTCTTCTTACTCCCATCCCACTTCCACCACTTGCCGGTGCTGACAGCAGAGGAAGGAGTCTCCCAGCACTGGTGTCTGGGAGGCCAGAAGCCGGGCTTATGGGTGGGACGTGAAGTGCCCAGGTGGACAGGAGTCTTAACCAGATGCAACTCCCAGGAAGAGTGCCAGTTCCAGCTTCCTGGCAATAGGTCTGGGGTCTGCAGACAGGCCCAGTACAGAACTCTGCAGAGACTTGACCACCTCCCAGAACTGGAAATGGTAGTGGAGCAAAGCTTCTCAGTCCTCCTCCAAGGACCTCTTAGAACCTTGGGGTAGAGCCCAGGGAGACTCAATGTAGGTGGCCGCTGAGAGCAGAGATTGTTAAGGCAAGAGTTGGGAGTGGGCATTGCACTGCCGAGGCCATTTAATTGTTGTTTTTAGATCTGGATGATCGAATAAGGAAAGATAATGCCTGAGCATCTTCCAGCTGACCCAGAGACCTACTCCCTTACCCCAACATGTTGATTGTGCAAGTAACAAAACCCAAGCAGCTCTTGTTGAATGTTTGCTTAAGTATATAGATTTTAAATTTGGCATCATGCTCTTTGTTAGTCATTTTTTTCCCTTGCTCTTGTAGTTGGAGAAATGCCAGATTTATCTATTTGTGTCAGTAGAATTCAAAGTTTCATTTCTTTTCTTTTTCTATTTTTGAGACAAGGTCTCACTCTGTCACCCAGGCTGGAGTACAGTGACATGATCATGGCTCACTGTAGCCTGGACCTCCCAGGCTCAGGTGATCCTCTCACCTCAGCCTCCCAACTAGCCAGGACTACAGGCACACACCACCACAGCCAGCTAGTTTCTTGTTTCTTTGTATTTTTCGTACAGATGGGGATTTGCCATGTTGCCCAGGCTGGTCTTGAACTCCTGTGCTCAAACGATCTGCCAGCCTCAGCCTCTCAAAGTGCTGAGATTACAGGCGTGAGCCACCATACCCAGCCTCGAAGTTTCAAGAACAGAGCTTACATCAGGTGGACCCCCAAAAAATCCAGGATTTTTCCAGGGAAGACAGAGCTGGTTCAGAGGAAAGAGGCCCCTTGGGGAGGAACGCCCAGGGAGAACCCAGGGACACGCAGATCACATCTCCCCCATTCCTGTCCTGCTGGGGAAGGTGGACAGAGAGAGGAAGTGCTCTAGAAATGTTTGAGGTTCACAATGGGCCAAAGCCTGGATTGGCATAAGAGGTAGCATTTCCAGGGCCCCAGTTCCTGAATTGGCCTCCAGTCTCCCCATGAGACTTTTCTCAAATCCCTACTCAGGAGGAGACCTTCCAGTCCTTGAAGAATAAGCCCCTTCAACCAGGGCAGAACTCATGCTCCAGGACTTGTGTGGGGCCCTCAGCCCTTCCTTTCTCATCTCCTTTCCCTTATAGTCTCAACTAGTGACAGAGGTGGTAGAGGCCGCCCTACTTGACTCTTTCCTCCCAACAGAAAGAAAACTGATACTTATACATTCTTTGAAGTTAGTTCCAGAGTAAGTTCCTCTTCCCAGAAATATTTGAATAGTAAAGAAGAACTCTCTCTTTTGGGAGAACAGTATGAGGAGCACAAAAGAATGAATCAACAGTGCATTCAGTAGGACAGGTCTTTCTGGTGGGCTATTGGATGCATCTTCTCATACCATGGCCCTTGAGACTCCTGTCCCCTTCCCAGTGCTGTCTTCGGTGGAAGCCAGCTTTCCTAAAAAGAGAGAAAAGCAGCTGGGTGCAGTGGCTCACTCCTGTAATCCCAGCACTTTGGGAGGCTGAGGCAGGTGGATTGCCTGAGGTCAGGGTTCGAGACCAGCCCGGCCAACATAGTGAAACCCCGTCTCTACTAAAAATACAAAAAATTAGCTGGGCATGGTAGCGGGCGCCTGTAATCTCAACTACTAGGGAGGCTGAAGCAGGAGAATCGCTAGAACCCGGGAGGTGGAGGTTGCAGTGAGCCGAGATTGCGCCATTGCACTCCAGCCTGGGCAACAAGAGTGAAACTCTGTCAAAGAAAGAAAGATAAAGAAAGAAAGAAAAGAAGGAAGGAAGGAAAGGAAGGAAGGAGAAAAGAAGAAAGAGAGAAAAGAAAGAAATGAAGTATGGAGGCAGGAGACCCCATTCCACTACTTCAGAGCTGAGTGACTCTGGGTAGCTCTCTGAGCTTCAGATTCTTCCTCAAAGAGGAATCACTTTCCAGGCCTCGCCTGCTTCCACACTGGTGTGAGGATGAACTGAGAGGCTGTGTAAAAGTGTTTTTTTAATCAACTCTAAGTGTCCACGAATTAAGGGAACAAAAAAGGTCCCTGCTCCTTCGGCCCCTCGGGGTCTCCTTTCCCCTCACACACCCAGACACCTTGCAAGAGGCAGCGAGAGTACAGTTCAAGATGTTGGAGGTGCACTGGCTGTATGAGAAAAGTCTAATCCCAACTTTTTGGGAAACTGAAAAGAGCAATGGAGGCCACACCAGCTGTGCACAGAACAGAAAGCATTTCCCATATTTCTCTGGCCCCGCAAATCACAGCCTACTTCCCGCTCGGTTGCGGGGGTGGGGTGGTTAGCTGGGGCCGAGCCTTTGCGGGGAAACGCGGCCTCAAATTACTGCTCTGGAGGCCCCTGCAAGCTGTCAGGTCTTGGGTGGAAAGAGCCGGTGTTCAAGCCGTGTTCTGCTCCTAGAGCGGCGGCTCGGTGGCGCGTGGCTGATGAATCAGAGTTGAAATTTCGCGGGTGCACGGGGAACCGCCGGGCCGCACGCAGGCGGCTGCTTGGCGGGTTGGTGGGTGGCGGGCCACTCGGCTGCCGGAGCCCGCACTGGGCCCCCGCCCCGCCCGCGGAAGGACCGACGTCTGCCGCTGCTCTCGGTTTCCGCGCCCTGCAGGGGCTCCCCCTCCCCAGCCCCGGTGTCCCGCTCCCCACCGCAGCAGTGTGAGTCTGTCGGGTTCACTCTCTACGAGGGGGCTTGAATTTTCGGGTAGGAGACTGGGCTGCCGACGTGAGTGCGCGCAGACCCGCTGCCGAGCCTCGGACGGGGTCTGTCGGTCTTGGAAGAGTTCCGGACCCGCCAGGTTCGTTAACCAGTGTACACCTCTGGTTTGTTTCAGAACCATTCCCTCCAAACGGAAGCGGACTTCGATCTGCGGGATTTCAGAGACACAGTGGATGATCTCATTGCAGGCAAGTGCAATTTCCTGGCAGTTAAATAACAGCGGAGGTGTCTCTCACTCCCAAATCAGACTAGTTCAGATTTCGTGGTCCTGACGGTGGCAAACCCAGTCAACTGTCAGTGACTCTCCAGCAACTCATCAAATAGTCAGGCTTTTCCATATGTAGGACATTTCTCTCCCCCAGTGAATAAGTCGAATCGTTGGATCAACATAGCAGGGGTCGTTGTGAGTTCTGGGAGACGGAGCACTATGCTGTGATGTGGCTGGGGAGGTTGCATGACGAGCATGCAGAGGATAGAAGGCCTGTGTGACTAAAGGCCCAGGGAAGTTTTCTTGATTGTAAACTTAACAGGCATATTTTGGATGCCTGCTGTGTATGTACAGGCCATCAGGAAGGGCCTGGTAATCAGGCGTTTAGGAGTAAGGGGTACCTAATTTAATAATTAAAAGAAAATCTCTACATAAACCCTACACCCAGAGTGCATTTTGCTGCTGTAACTAGCTGGGCATGAGTTTGAGGCTGCAAATCCAGCTCCCGCTCTTCTCCAGATTCATCCTCTATGATGTCACCTACCCTGGCCAGCGGAGACTTCCCCTTCTCTCCTTGCGACATATCACCATTCGGGCCCTGCCTCTCCCCGCCACTGGACCCACGGGCCTTGCAGTCACCACCGCTGCACCCTCCAGACGTGCCCCTGCCTGAGCAGTACTGGAAGGAGGTGGCAGACCAGAACCAGAGAGCACTGGGAGACGCGCTTGTTGAGAACAATCAAGTAGGGACACTGGCCTGGCGACCAGGAATCCTGGGGCAGGGACAGAGTATAGAGGGTGGCAGTGGGGGTTGCAAGGGCAAGAATGAGGTCCCATGAGTCGGAACCAGTAGACTGGCTGGTGGTTCGCATAGCTGCCATTGCTCTGGTGGCTCCACCTCTTTCCAGCTTCATTAAGTGGGAATAATCCTACCCCACCTGATTTTTATTTTATTAATTTAATTTTTGATTGATGGATTTGTTTGTTTATTTATTTTGAGACAGAGTCTCACTCTGTCGCCCAGGCCGGAGCTCAGCGGCTCAATCTTGGCTCACTACAACCTCCATCTCCCAGTCTCAAGTGATTCTCGTGCCTCAGCCTCCCAAGTAGCTGGAATTACAGGCGTGTGCTACCACACTTGGCTAATTTTTGTATTTTTAGTAGAAATAAGGTTTCACCATGTTGGCCAGGCTAGTCTTGAACTCCTGACCTCAGGTGATCTGCCTGCCTCGACCTCCCAAAGTGCTGGGATTACAGGCGTTAACCATTGCACCAGGCCATTTTATTTATTTTTAAACATTGTTTAATTTTGGGGAGATTTAGAGGTACAAGTGCAGTTGTGTTACATATATATATTGCATAGTGCCTGCCAGATTTGGTATAGAGACACCAATATTTATTGAAGGCTTTCTATGTGCCTGGCCCTGTACTTAACGATTTATGCTTTCTCTTCTCAATTCTCACAATCATTGAGCTAAATACTCTTCCTAGCCCCTTTTGACAAGGAAATCGAGACATAGGATTGTTGAACTTCAGTGACAGAACCTAGACCTGCCCAAGTCAGTACTCTTAATCAGCACGCTACACTGAGGATTAATGGAGATACATTTTGTCCAAGTGCTTTGTTTTAAGGGGAAAAAAAAGGAAATTGATTATTATTTTCACTAGCGTAAATACCCACGTGTCCTCAGTTCCTGATGAGACGTCAGGATCTGGGTTTGATTCATGCCAGATACGCAGACTCGACCCAGCACAGTGCTTACCCCTGAATGTTTGGGTCCCCTCCTGCAGCTGCACGTGACGCTGACCCAGAAACAGGAGGAGATCGCCTCGCTCAAGGAGCGGAATGTGCAGCTGAAGGAACTCGCTAGCCGAACCCGGCACCTGGCCTCGGTGCTGGATGTAAGTGGGGCTGGGGCGTGTGGGAACTGCAGGACATCGGAACTGAACTGTTCAGTGCATCCCCGCCCCCGACTCTGCTCCCAGTGTTGGGACCCGGCGGGGACCCGGGAGAGGAGAGGACCGCTGGGTGTCTGGTGCAAAGCGCGCCCAGGTCACCTTTCGCGCGCCCCGACCCCGGCGGGTCCGGCAGGCCCCAGGGCGGCGCTCTTCCCCGTCTTTCGTAGAAGCTGATGATCACACAGTCCCGGGATTGTGAGGCGGCGGCTGAGCCCTTCCTGCTTAAGGCGAAGGCCAAAAGAAGCCTGGAGGAGCTGGTCAGCGCCGCGGGGGAGGATTGCGCGGAAGTGGATGCCATCCTGAGGGAGATTTCCGAGCGCTGCGATGAAGCCCTGCACAGCCGTGATCCCAAGCGGCCCCGACTGCAGCCAGAGTCCGTGAACATGGACAGCAGGCCTGGGAACCTGCACGGCGCTTTCCGGGGGCTGCGCACCGACTGCAGCCGGAGCACGTTGAACCTGAGCCACAGTGAGCTGGAGGAGGGCGGCTCCTTCAGTACCCCCATCCGCAGCCACAGCACCATCCGAACCCTCGCCTTCCCCCAGGGCAATGCCTTCACCATCAGAACAGCCAACGGGGGTTACAAGTTTCGCTGGGTCCCCAGTTGAGCTGTGATGTGGTCTCCCAAAACACTGCCCTGTGTTTGCACGAAAGTGCCTGAAGGTTTCCCAGAACTCTCCCTTCAGGCTGAATGCCACCCTGAAACAATTTTTCGGGAAGAAAAACATCTTGATACCGATGCACTGTAAACTTCCACAAAACATTGTATAGTCCCTCCCCTTGTCACAGTGAAACTGTGTATATATGCGTATGTCACATGTGTCACAGCCAATTTTAAAGGTATTTATTTTTAGCAGCTTTGAATTATGTATTTTTAGAGCCGGGGGGGATTTAGAAACCATAGCTACTTCTATAATTATATAATGCCCTAGCTTTATAAGAAGGAAAAGGAGGCTCTAAAAGGTTAAGTAATTTCCTACAATGGGAAACACTGGAACATTTCAATCACTTTCACTTGTCACTTAAGGACTCTAGGCCCAGAAGCCTGGTTTCTGAGTGAATGTTTTTATGCATCACTCAACTTCCCTCAGTCCTAGAAGGACAGCTAATTTTGTTACTATTGAAAACTTTTATTTTGGCGGCCAAAATATGAAATTGGGAGAGGTAACCTAAACAGTTGTCTTAGGAAAAGGCAGATTCTCAGAGGCGATGGGCTATTAACAAAATTGATGCTAAACACACTTGTTTGTAATGATCATTCGCATAATTTAGAAGATTTATGGTAAAGGTTTATATTCATTATCCGTACAGTTCTATTTGTGCAAACTGAATAACCACCTAAAAAGCGAACATTATTAATGAGAAATATACATTGTTTTAAGAAAATAGCATATACCACATAAAAAAGTGTTCCCATTTTTTGCCAGAAATCAAGTGTGGAAATCTTGATCAAAGTAAAACTACCTACTTGCACAGCACAGACAAAACTGGGGTGCACAGTCGTATTTTACATTTCTTGGCTTGATCTATATAACTTGCAAGAAAAACTTGCTATAAAAAGTCAGTGTGCCTTCACTTTGACTTAACTTCCTTCTATTCCCTTTTGTCTGTAGTTTCTGAAGTTTGTTTTCTCTCTTTCTTTCTTTTTTCTTTTCTTTCTTTCTTTCCCTCCCTCTCTCTCTTTCTTTTTCTTTCTTTCTTTCCCCTCTTTCTCTTTCAAGGTTTGCTCTTGTTGCCCAGGCTGAAGTACAATGGTTCAATCTCAGCTCACTGCAACCTCTGTCTGTCAGGTTCGAGTGATTCTCCTGCCTCAGCCTCCCAAGTAGCTGGAATTACAGGCATGCACCACCACAGACCACCACACCCAGCTAATTTTTTTTTTTTTTTTTTTTTTTTTTTTTTTTGAGACCGAGTTTTGCTCTTGTTACCCAGGCTGGAGTGCAATGGCGCGATCTCGGCTCACCGCAACCTCCGCCTCCTGGGTTCAGGCAATTCTCCTGCCTCAGCCTCCTGAGTAGCTGGGATTACAGGCACACGCCACCATGCCCAGCTGATTTTTTGTATTTTTAGTAGAGACGGGGTTTCACCATGTCGACCAGGATGGTCTCGATCTCTCGATCTCGTGATCCACCCGCCTCAGCCTCCCAAAGTGCTGGGATTACAGGCTTGAGCCACCGCGCCCGGCTGTATTTTTAGTAGAGATGGGGTTTCTCCATGTTGGTCAAGCTGCTCTTGAACTCCCGACCTCAGGTGATCCACCTACCTCAGCCTCCCAAAGTGCTGGGATTACAGGTGTGAGCCACCATGCTGGGCCCCTGGGGTTCTTTTCTACTTGTTTCTGAAATGATGTGAGTGGCATATGTCAAGTAGTGATTTTTCCTGACCTTCACAGTTCTTAACATGAGGGCTACTTCTTGCACTTGGGGGCTCAGCTTGGGCACGTTTCCAACTGTGTTACACCACACTGCATTGCTGGTTCTGCCAGTCTGAGAGGAGATATCAGGTAACAGGTGAGTTGGCAGTGTGGCAGAACCTGCTCTTCCAGTTTGTCATGTATGTACTGTTATCTGTATTTAAATACCCATTTAGAAACCAAAAAGTGGTAAAACAGACCACATTTCCTCATATTTTGTCTAACAAATAGACTCTTAAAAAGTACAGTGGATGGTCCAGAATTTTTTTTTTCATCAGCTCAAATATAAAGTTACCACAGTTCGGGATAAGAAAAAACAAAAAATCACTTCTCCCCAATCGCTTAACCTGTCCCCTCAAACAATCCGCTTGTCAAGTCTTTTCCTCTTTATGAGTATTTTTATAATGCTTTACCTACAATAACCAAAAAGTTTAAAAATATATAGGGTTTTTTTCTGTATTTCTTATGACTAGAGTTTTAAAAATTATGTTTCTTCCTGCCTTTAAGATTATATCCCTATAATTGTCATGTTAGCCATTGGTAACTTGAACTGCTTAAGTATCTTTCACTTCTGAGGCAGTGGTTGGGGTGGGAGGGTGGGGTTGGGGGAGTCATCTTGCGGACTAATGGTGCAAATGACTAAATTAGCAGTAGTAGAGTTTACAAATTAGAGTCATTTGTTCATGTAACAGGTATTTATTATTACTGAGAATCTTAGTAATACAGATACTAAGAAAATAGCAAAAGAACAAAACACAAAAATCTTGCCTTCGTGGATCTTACTTTCTCTTAGGAAGACATAAATACCAAACAAATCAATATATACATGCTATGAAAAAGAGTAAGGATAGAGAATTCTGCATGTGGCATTATGAAGAATATATATTTGGTCTTTGTCTCTGGTTCCTGGTTTGTGGCTTCTAAAATCCTTGGACTCTAACCAGTGATGAGTATAGTGTAGCTATGTTTCCCAGGGTGGTCTTGAACTCCCAGCCTCAAGCAATCCTCTGTTCCTGCCTCAGCCTCCCAAGTGGCTGGGGTTATGGGCTTGAGCCATTACACAGCTGAGTGTCTTGTATGTGCTAATGAGATGTCTGGTATCTGAGGGCCCCTAGATAGCTTCAAGATGGGGCTAGTCTTTAGAAAGACCAAGCCATGGCTAGGAGTGGTGGCTCACGCCTGTCATTCCAGCACTTTGGGAGGCCAAGGTGGGCAGATCACCTGAGGTCATGAGTTCGAGACCAGTCTGGCCAACATGGCAAAACACTGTCTCTACTAAAAAGACAAAAATTAGCAAAACAGAAATTAGCTGGGTATGGTGGTGAGTGTAGTCCTGGCTACTCGGGAGGCTGAGACAGGAGAATCACTGAGGCTATTTGGGAAGCTGAGGCAGGAGAATCACTTGAACCCAGGAGGCAGTTGCAGTGAGCCAAGATCATGCCACTGTACAACAGCCTGGGTGACAGAGCAAGACTCCATTTGAAAAAAAAAAAAAAAAAAAAAAAGACCTCAGCCTTTCCAGCCCTGCTTCCTTGCCCTCACCTCTGGGCAAAGGAGAGGGGCTAGAGATTGAGTTACCCCAATGACCAATGATGTATTTAATCAATACATAATGAAGCCTCCATAAAGTCCCCTAAGTGATAAAGTTCAGGGAGGTTTCAAGTTGGTAAAGATATCTAGGTGCTGGGAGGGTGGTGTGTCCAGAGAGGACAGGGAAGCTCTGTCCCCCTCACCATACTTTGCCCAGTGCATTTCCACTATTTGGCTATTTATGAGTTGTGTCCTTTGTAATAAGTAATAGTAAGAAAATGAGTTCCTGAGTTCTGTGAGCCATTCTAGCAAATTATTAAATCTAAGGGGGTGTTATGGAAACCCTAGACTTTGTTTCCAAGTCAGAAGTGTGGGCACGCTGGGCGCCTGATTGGCATCTGAAGTGAAGGAAGTTTTATGGGCTAAGCCCTTAAACCTGTGGAATCTGACACTAGCTCCAGGTAGTGTCAGAATTGAATTGAATTACAGGATACACAGTTGTGTCTGGAGAATTGGAGAACTGGTTGATGTGGAAAACCTGTCGAAATATTTGGTGTCAGAGTGTGGTGAATAAAAATAGCTCAGTGTGATTGTAGGTAGTCTTTGGGCCTATGTGGTCTACCTTAGTTCAGGAATATGTGTTATCCTGAAATTACCTCAATAATTCCTTCATTTCCAATAGGATCAGATACAGTTCTAGTTGTTGGGAAGAAAACCAGGAATAAAACCAAGTGCTTGCCTCATGAAGCATGTATTCTAGTGGGGGAAGGCAGATGCTAAACAGATAGGTGATGTCTGATATTTAACACATTTTAAAGAAAATAAAGCAGGGTATAGAGACAAGATGTGACAGGAGTTACTGTTTTAGCTAACATGGGGTATTTCTAGAAGTTTCTCTGAAAGTAAAATCAGTTTTAAAAAGGAAGTACAGTGGCCAGGTGTGGTGGCTGACACCTGTAATCTCAACACTTTGGGAGGCTGAGGCGGGTAGATCACCTGAGGTCAGGAATTTAACCACCTGAGGCCAGGGATTTTAATCACTTTGGCCAGCCTGGCCAACGTGGTAAAAAACCCATCTCTACTAATAACACAAAAATTAGCTGGGCGTGGTGATACATGCTAGTAATCCCAGCTACTCCAGAGGCTGAGGCAGGAGAATCACCTGAACCCAGGAGGCAGAGGTTGCAGTGAGCCAAGATTGCACCCTTGCACTCCAGCCTGGGTGACAAAAGCAAAACTCCATTACAAAAAAAAAAAAAAAAGTACACACATTTTAACTAGATTACTGTTAATGATATGGCCTCATAATTGCAACAGTGAGATGTTATTGCATAGTAATGGCTCTCAAACTGCTGTGTGTATCAGAATCACCTGGAGAGCTTATTAAAACCCAGCTTTCTGGGATTATCCCCAGATTTCCTAATTCAGTAATTCTGCAGGCAGGCCTAAGAATGTGAATTTCTCACAAGTTCTCAGGTGATGCTGGGGTCTGGGACCACATTTTGAGACCCAGAGTTGTAAAGAAGCCTTTTAAAGATTACTTTTAATAGGTTAAAGCAGGCCAGCCACGGTGGCTCACGCCTGTAACCCAGCACTTTGGGATGCTGAGGTGTGTGGATCACCTGGAGTCAGAAACTTGAGGCCAGCCTGGCCAACATGGTGAAA